TAGTACATACAGATATCGAATTATAAAGCTGTACACCTGAAATGTAATTTTTTAAGTGACAGATCAGGGATTTGAACTCAGAACTGTGATTCCAGATATTCCAGATGCTCCCTGCCCAAATTACATAGCAGATTTCTCAATGAGCCTAAAATTAAAGCCAAAGGCACTTGATATTCTCAAAGCAAAATTTGGTCATTGCCCTTCTTCATTTTATAGTCTAAAGAGCAAAAGCTATTCTGAATATCAGAACTTCTGTTAAAATCAGGGCCAGTAAACAACAAATGACTCTTCTTTAGCCCCTGTCCTATTTTCCCAGTCCTTGAGTTCTTTAACCTCTCATTCCAGTCACAGTACCATTGAATAAATTACAGCATCTTTATATTCAGGTCATGCCTTCCTAAGAGTATACTCTGGATTGGATTTGAAGAGCCCTCTCGTCTCTCCTGAGGGTAGATGAGAAACGGACTCTGAGTGCTGGGCAGCCCTGGGCACTGGGGATGTGGCAGGCCTGAGCTGAGCCCCAGTCCCTGCCATCTGGAAGCCACCATCCCTGTCCCTTCTCATGGCACTGAGCAGATGTTCTACTCTGCAGTGATGTCAGGTCCTGCTTCGAAGCAGTCCCTTAGGGGCAAATATTTGTCTGGAAGTATTTCTAGACTCAGCAACAGCAACAGTTCTGCTGACATCTCCATGGAGCTCACAGAGGGGACCGGGGGAGCTCCCAGGATCCAGGAGCAGACCAAGAGCAGGCAGCTCTAAGTGTCCCCCACTCCAGCCCCAGTGCTGAGCTCCAGTGGCTTTGTTAGGTCACATGCTCACCCCTTGGCTGTGACAGGTGGTAAAGGAAGGCTCTGGGGAGGAAGTTTCCATAGACCCTTCAGGTACAGTTTGGGGAGAGCAGAGCATGTACCTGGTCTGAAGAGTCTCTTCTCACGCTGCCCGCCTGTGGAGGAGGAAGAGATGACGCTCTGAAAGGACATCAAGGCCCTGATGGGGGAGGGGAGTGGATTCTGGTTGGTCAAAACACGGCAGTATCCATCACAGCTTTGTTCCTTCCTGGTAAACAGTAAGTATTTGAATATTACTGTGGCCCACCTGAAAACGGTTACTCTCAGCTCCCAGCTTCAGCCGAGTGCCCCTGCCCACCGTGTTTGCGTGCCCCCAACCACCGCCGCCATCAAGGGGAGAGTCCCGCCCAGTTCTCCACAAACAGCAGAATGGAGTGCCGGGAAGAGTGCTGGGTTGCCACTCAGGAGCCCCACCACTGGCCCACATGAGAGCTGAGGAAGGCTGTCTGCTCTTCTGAAAAATAAAAATAAAAACGATCTGCTCCATCTATAGCAAAGGTCCGAGTGATGGGTGGGAAGACGCTTTCGAAAGGTAACACTGCCAACCAGAACCTTCTGTGGTGAGGGGGAGGAAAGGTGTTTGTGGAGGAGGAAAGCCAACAGGGGGCCTCATCAATGATGAATGCTTTAGTGAATAAATAATTCAGAGCTTTGGGGATCCTTTTAGAAACAGCATGTTTCCACTCAGCTCTGCCTACAGAAAATGTTTTTCCAAAGGTGCGTCTCCAGAATTAGATGCTTTTGACGTGCCCAAAGATTCAGGGAAGGCCTCTTCGTGTATTGTCCTCTGGGCAGCCCACGGCCAACTCCAGGCGCCAGGGAGTCAGAGCTTGAGCTTCTGGAGGGCAGCCCTGGCTCACCAGCTTCCATCCCAGGGGCCCCTCCTTCTGCCAACAACCTCCTCCACACCCTGATACTCTATGAAGCCTTGCACAGCTCCTGGAGGAAAATGGCAGTTTGACTCAGCCTTTGTCCACACCTGGGGGGACTTCCTGTCTGTCTCCATCACTTGAGAGCAGAATTGCGTTCTGTACACTCCTGTATCCTCCATAGCACAGTGCTTAAAATATAATAGGTATCACCATATTTTCTTTAAAGTCACTTTTTTTATGGACAGAATGTTCACAAACCCGATGCGTACACCTGGATTAATTCAGTGAAGACACCTGTAGAACCAGCACCCAGATCAAGCAAATAGAAATGACCAGCACCCCAGAGGCCCCCTGAATTCTCTGTTCATCATGTCCTGCATGTTAACCACCATCCTGACTTCCAGTAGCATAGTTTTGCTTGTTTTGAACTTTATATAAATAAAGTACATTATGTATGCTCTTGGAAGTGGCTTCCTTCATTCCAATTCTGTTTGTGAGATTTATCTTTGTTATTCCTTCTCATTGTTGAATAGTAGTCTATTATATGAATATACCATAATTCATCCATTGTGTTGTTAATGGGCATTTGAATTGTTTCCAGGATGGGCCTTTTACCATTCTTCTTCCTGTCTTTTGGTGAACATATGTATGCAGTTCTGTTTGTTGGGTGTAAGCTTAGAAATGATCTTGCAAGGTCAAAGGGTAGATGTAATTGACACCTTTTTGAATATATGCCGGCCTGCATGAATGTCTACAGCTTCAGCGGGGGACGACGGGATAGGTACGACCGGAGATGTGCACCCCACCCTTCACCTGAGCTTGGCTTTTAGTGCACAGGCCCTGATATCTGCCTCCTGCCCCAGCCAGCAGGTAGGTGGTTAGCTCAGGAGACTGACAGGCTCTGCTTATGAAGCTGCTGGTCCGGCTGGGCCTCAGCTTCCCACTGGAGCTCTTCTCCAAAACTGAGGAGCCCGGTGGCCCCCGTTCCTGCCTGACATCTGTTCCCTCAGAACTCTGCACCACGACTATCTCAAAGGTCAGGATCTGGGCGCCTGGGTGGCTCAGTTGGTTAAGCGACTGCCTTCAGCTCAGGTCATGATCCCAGGGTCCTGGGATCGAGCCCCACATTGGGCTCCCTGCTTGGCAGGAAGCCTGCTTCTCCCTCTCCCACTCCCCCTGCTTGTGTTCCCTCTCTCGCTGTGTCTCTCTCTGTCAAATAAATAAATAAAATCTTTAAAAAAAAAAAAAGGTCAGGATCTGCTCCTAATAGTCTGTGGGGTGCCATGCCCCAAGACTTCATGGTTTGCCCAACCCAGCCTCTTCTCTCTAGAAGGATGTGTCTGCCCATCACCCATCAACGTTCCCACACTATACTCTCACCTCCACCTGAGATGGTGATTCCTCCCTTCATTCCTCTTTGAGCATCCCCTCCAGACACAGAGCAGTCCCCCAACCCGGCGTCTTCCCAAAAGCTTCTGGCCTCTGTGCCCTCTTAGAGTGGTATTGTGGATAGACTGCAATGGCTTTTCCAGGTCCTTCTATAGATATGTGGATGTGCGTATGTTTACTTTGTGCATTTTGGCATCACAGTTCACACAGGCAGATTCTAAACATGAGGGCAGGATCTCAGCCCTTTGTCTACTGTATGGGGCCCTGCTTAAGCAGAGATTAGACGTTCATGACCGGGTAATCAGAGTCAGGGTCTACACAGTCCCGTGAAGTAAACTGGTTCCAAGGGGCAAGTCCATAACAGATGATGACAGAAGGATATGCAGTAATTAAGAAAGCAGTTGGCATCAAAGGCCCCACCCCAACAGGGCTGAGAAGGGGAGAAGGCAGAGGCAGCGGGTAACAAAAGTGCTACGATCAGAGGCCCATTCCCAATGGAGTTCTTCGACCCAGGACCCACCTGAGCACAAGGCAGTGTCTGAACTCCCAGGCCAGACCCTTGTCCAGGTCAGGCCAAGCTGGGCAAAAAGCCAGAGTGACTTAGCAACAAGGGCAACATCAGGGGTGCCCGGGGGGCTGAGCTGTAGCTCACTGACGCCTCCACCTAGAGCCAGGGCCGGTCCAGACAGAGGTGGGCCTGGGTGTGTGCAACGGACCACCTCGGAGCCTCAGGCATGGGGAGGAGAGAGGCAGGTGAGCGAGCACAGAGGGAATAGGCCAGAGCAGGGGCAGAACAGGGTTTGACTGCACAGACTCAACAAGTGAGGGAGTCACCCCAGCTGGCTCTGGAATCTCAGGAGACACGTGGAGCCCTGGCCCTGCTGCTTACCTGCCACGTGGGACTCACTTACCTGCCTTTAGAGTTGACTTTGCTATTGGTTGCTTCCACCATAAATTCACGAAATCATCATCTCCCGCCTACCACACAGTTTTGGGGTGTGGACGATAGGCTGACATCTGAGAAAATGCTTGGTCACATCCCCATTCAGATGTTGCTTCCTTCGCTGATTCACAGTGCCACATGGTCATCATCTTGCAGTGACACTCCAGATCTCTTTCTTGGGATAAATCATCTAGGGTCTTACACTAGGTTATACAGAGGGCTAAGGTATCCCACGGAAGCCCAAGCCTTCTGTTCTCCCATCTCCAAATTCACCTATAGAGCTTTAGGCTGGGGACTGAGAAAGACAGTAAGAAACAAATCCTCTCCTCTTTCTCCAACCCAGAGGCGCAATAACTTCCCATCCACGGTTGGAGGCCTGGAATGGGGTCACTGCTCAGTGGAGGCTGGTTAGTTCAAGGACACACACGCCCCAGTCCAGCCTTTAATCCCATCCAGCAGGTGCCCAAGCAGGTGAGTCACCACCCAGACTTGTGCACTCTCTACCTCCACCCCACACACCCTGCAAATGCTCCACCTGCACTCACCGTCCTAGGACTCATCCTCTTCAAAACCATTTCCTGGGTTTCTGATTATAAAGTAGTATCAATTCATTTTAGACAACTAGGAAAACTCAAAAAGGCAAACAGAAAAACACCACTAATAGCTGCCATGTTTGCTTTGCCTTGCTTTTCATTTCCATCAGTTCCCACACCTGCTCGGTTCCTGCAGCATTCCATCTGACCTCTGACCGCACCTCCTTGAACCCTACTGCGACAAGCCTGAGGCCCGAGGTCCTGCCTCACTCCCTTCGGTCAGCGCAGAACGGGTGGCACGGCAAGGGTTAAAGGCATTACCAGTTCGCAGTGATTGCACTGTAATGAGGACGAGATGCTAAATTAAAGTTTATTGCAGAATACAAGTGTATGTAGTCAGCATTTGTAAGAGGCTACAATGAGATGCCTTCCAGAACTTGGCAGTACAATTATGTAGAGTTGAGTAAAATGCACACGCAGATGAGATTAGCTGTCGGCAAAAGTCATTTTAAGACAAGTCATCTTTTGTGAAGGCAGAAATGGCTAGCCTAGAATGCTAGTCAAGATGTGATTAAACATGGAAGAAGCCACAGCCTCGTGAAAGCCCTGAAATGTCTGCAGCAAGATGGTGCGTGTGTGCTGGGGGTGGTCTGTGCGGAGCACAGAAGGGGGGAGGAAGGACGTCTGTTGGTGTTGCTGGGACACCGCCTGCGAGCAGCCCCACCGGGTGAGGCGGGGGGCACCAGCCTGTGGGCAGGCGTACGCTGGGTTAGAGACGGGAACGGCACCCCCTCCGCCCTGCACCCAGGCTCCCCGGCAGCGTCCGGGCTCAGCCTCCAGCTACCTGAGCTTGGGAAGGGGAGCCACCAGAGCGAGCAACTCAGGCAAAGGGCCGAGAACGGGAGGTCCGGAGCCAAAGGAGCTGGGTTCCATTCGGACTCCGGCTCCCTACAAAGCTGTGCCACCTGGGGCAAAAATACTTACCCCTTGAGCACTTCTCCGGATCTGTGAAATGCAGCGCTGAAATCTCCCTCAGAGGGCTGCCAGGAGGCTTACTGGTAGAGAGCAGCAAGGCTGGGCTGTAATTCCTAATAACCGTAACAATGGCATTATTGTTACTCATCAGCAAATTTATTTAGCAGTCCCTAGTGAGGTATTCGATGAAACCCAACCCCAGAAGCTGCTCTTTTCTAGGTGTGAATTAGCGAATTGAGCCTCTGGGTTTGCCACGCCGAGGTCTGGACCCTGGGCCTTGGTGACAAGTGACTGCACCCCCGGGACCTATGGTTAGAAGTGTCTCACACAGCATGTGTAAACCAAATACAAAGCTGTGGCTTGGTGTGAAATAAAGACTGGGGGGGCGGGGTAAGTTTTATTAGTATAAACCTGGTGTAGCCAACGAAAAAGTCCTTGTTACAAAGTGTTCTGGGAGTTGTGAGCAGTTGACTGTGAGTGTATTACCATTTTGAGTAATACTCAGCTGCGCTTCATAGTTTTTGTACAGTCAAGTGTGATGATGATGTAAACTGCATTATTTCCTGGCACAAAGTAAGCACTCAACATACATGTTACACATTTTACAAATGCGGGTTTCTGTTTTTGTTTTGTTCACGATGCATTATTTAAACCAGACAGAACCTCTCCAAAGAAGAAAGGGAGGGGAGAGAATATGCCAAACTCCAAAATATCAGATTTGAGCTGTTACAAAAGAAAAAATTATTTATTTTACAAGTAAGTATTTTCCTAAAGTATTATACATAAAGGAAAGTTGAGCTGTCTGTAGGAAAACATTATAATTTTAGGAAGTTACACAGGGGTCAACATTGTGCTTAAAACTTTAAAATAGACAGGTGCAAAAACTAGCACAGTAAGTGACTACTGCAAGGTATGAATAGCCTTCGAAAGTGTATACGGACACAATGATGCAGAAGCTCAATATTCAAGCCCCTGGTGACCATGTGCTTTCAGACTTGTTCACACTAGTAAAAGAGCACCCTTCAGTCCCAACAGAAGAACTCCAAGCACTCAGAGATACCCGGCCCTTCCGCACGCAGTACAGTCAACTCTCCATTCCCCAGAGTAATGAAAGGGAGCAGAGACATAACATTTTTAAAAGGTAAAGAATTTCAAAATTAATTTTGAGAAGTGCCCTTACGTTTGGAGGTGAGAAATACAGACAACCCTGGAATTCACAGCACTGAGATGGTGAGTCCAACTCTCATTTCCTTCCCCTCTCCTCAACGGGAAGAGAGACAATCCCACACTGTTCACAGAAAAGCCTAGAATGCAACTGGCCTCTTCAATTCTGGCTCCCACCTCCCGTGGCGAGGGGAGTAGGAGAGAAAACTGTGAAAATGTTTCCCTCACATGAAAAGCCAAAACATGTCAATACAACTTGGCAAACAAGATGGAAAAATCAAGAGCTGACGTATAAATATCAGTTTAACTTGTGCTTGTTTCCCCTTGCCCAGTAGTATTTATACAGCTGAACATGCCTGGGTATTTTGACAGCTTTCTAAGATAGGTGGTGTCCTGTTGCCCAGATAGAGAAATTTGTATAAAAGGAGTTTGTTATGATTAGGCCCAAAGAACGGTTTCAAAGAGGCCAGGAAGTGGAGGTTAAGGTTAAAAAATAAAACCACCAGCCCTAAAACAGGATCCAATCCTAGACCAAATCTGAGTGGTACCTCAGGACAACCACTTCACGGCTTTGTTTTGGTTTGGGTGCTTTCATTTGGTTTGGTTTTGTATTGTATTATCTTGAAGTACACATTTTCCTTTTCCAGGAAAGCAATTGTTTTTTCTCCAGCGTTTTCTCAAATTCTTACTTCAAATCTTAAAAATTACAAGGTAAAAAAAAATACCTAGATTTGACGGTAAAGCCTTATTTGTTAATGTGCCAAAGAATTATGACCACAAAAGCCTTTTAATTGGCTTGTCATTTCTCAGAAAAGTTATGAGCGTATTCAAACCATGAAAATCCTAAAATCAATGCTGGTTCGGTAAGAAAGCTACGTTCCATACAGCACTGAGTTGGCATCGTCCACCTACTAGCTTTTACACCAACTTGCCAGAAGTGGGAATGGAGCCAGGTTTCCATCAAGGACCCCAAAAGCAGTTTCTCCATCCACACAGCCCAACCCTTTGCTCCAAGTGAGCAAACTACCAGGTTCACGCTATAAAGTTTTCATACCTGTCAATGAATAAGTATTAACCAAAAGACTACTTAACATGACTGTGTTTGAGGTCTATAATACACATTACAGTCTAAACATTTTCTAAAGTGCCTATAAATATACTTATACAAATGAGCAATATAATATCAGGTTTACAGAGAAATTCTTTTATATAATATATAACAGGTAGGCCTAGAATTTAAGTTGTAAATACACATTTTTATATCCTTATCAGTTGTTTTTGGAATGCAAGCATAAAGAAACAATTCTGGTTCAATTATATATGATTTCAGAGAATTATTAACAGTGCTAGGACAAAGAAATTCTTGCTTGTGCTTGTGTAGAAAAGGCTATTTTGAGATCCAGGAGCATCTGATATTTAGAATCCAATGGAGTATCTCCAATTCTATAAAACAGTAGCAAGTGAAGCTTAGTGAGTTTTTAATTATAAAGAGATTGTGCAAATATTTAAAGTGATTATCAACCATTATTAAATCCAAAAATTCCGTTAAAATCATGGGTAATCTGAATGGCAGTTCAGGAGTTTAAAAAACAGGAACCTAGGCAAAAGTCATAGATATTACCAATAAAGGCCCCAACCCTGACACAACCAGCTTCAGAAACGTGGCCCTGTGACCACGTATTTCCATGGCTTTAGAGACCTGGTGGTTGACTCCAATCAGTTTAATGAATGGGAATGCGGGCCCAGAGTTGAGAACTGATAGGAGGGGTGTAGAGAAAGAAGACCCTCCATATGCCCACCCAGGGGCTTCAGTGAGCTCACCCAAAGGCAGGTGCACACAGTGGCTGGCTGCACCACTTGGCTCCCAGGACTGGGCCTTTATGCCCTCCTCCAGCTGGTGACCCCATCATGGGAGGCACTGAGAACCGCGGGCAGGCTCATCCGAGGTCTGTCCCTAAGCCATCTGGGCCGGGGAAGCCGCTCTCTGTGGCCCCCACCCCTCTACATGCCCTCTCCTATACCCTGCTGTTCCTGCAGCTCCTCTCACCCCCTTCCTGGTGTGACTTGTTGAGTCTGTACATTTCAGTAAGTGCGAACTGTATGCTGCATTCTCATCCAGCATAGGAAGTTTTAACTAACACTGTTTTCAAAGGAATACGCGTACGCAGCTTTCTAATCCCTAGGGATGTTCTGGGCACCTAAGGCTAACGAAGTGTTCTAGCCAATCACGTGAACTACACATACAACTAAGAAAGCAGACTCTGCCTAGAGTGATTTGTGAAGGATGCCAAATGGAGGCTTCAGGGAAGAACACAACGGGCCTCTTCTTATTTCTTAAAATACCAACTCATGTGACATAGAAGAGATGTGCCAAAATGTGGACGGAGCACGAGATAATGCCGTAAGAGCACACTCATGGTTAGGATACGAGACATATTTCTCTCTCTCCACCTCTGATAGTTCTGGTTTCATTAGGGCCATATTTTAAACTTCCTGGATTCTTAACTATGCCTTACGGAAAGCAGATCTGGAGAAATGGCAGATAAGCAACTCACACAAGAACACCTTGTATAAATGGAAATTAGGAGAATTCTGAAGAGAGCTAAATAAGAATTATTCATTATTTTGTGTGTGTGAGAAAAGAGAACATGTACAACAGACTATGACTATTACTGTAGTAAAGTGAATGAATATCACACAAAAGATTTTCTCCCAACTTAGCAGCAAACTATTTCAACTGCTTTTGTATTTGCATAAAAAAATCCATGCATCATACTGAATTCTAATCCATTTCTCACCTAAACCATTCTAATGCTTCATACAACCAAATGAAGCAGAATTAATCAAACCTATTAGATTCATTCCTAATCCCTAAAGGACTGCTGTCTTTAGCATTTCCATGCTAACTAAAACTATTACTGATTTTTTTTTCTTAAGACGTCAGATGTGGCTGCCTCCTAAATATAATACCTATATAACTTCCTAAAAGTTTTCCCCGGATTTGAAGAACAATTAAGAAAAACAGGGAAACACTGAGGAATCCACCCAAGAGGCCAGCTCAAATGCTGCAACATGTTCCCCAGCTGCAAGGTCTCCCCTTCCCCTGGGTTCCCAGAGCATTCTGCATGCCTTGGCACAGTCCTCTATCAGACTGCGGGCCCCTTCCCGTCAGGAGTCAGGTCTTCTTCAGTCTGCGTCCCCCCGATGCACCCTGCAGAGCGTAGGCACTCAGCTAAAGCCCGACAGAACATGAAACTGAAGGTATCAGCTCTGGCT